ACCCGGAGTACCCGGAGAAAAAAGCACCGACATACGGCCAGTACCTAGTGATTGCCCAACGACGTAGGTCTCGAACCCGCGACCCAGTGGTAGCAGAATGTCTTAACCACTTGGCCACCGCTGTCCCAAATAGGAGTTTCATCCGGACTGAAAAGTGCGAAATCATGACCATCTCCAGGAAAGTTATTATACATGTGATAAACCATATAGTAAAGAAAGTTTTAAAAAAAATAGGCTGGAACAACGTTTTATTGGTTTGGCTTTCTTCTTGGCACTCGTTATGAATGGCGAAGTTTGCTGCACATAGAGAGGAAAACATTCCTCAAAAATATTCGATGTCGTATTCTGAATACGTAAATTATGAAAATACACATACTCATTATCATCAATTTTTGTCTAGCATCGGCATATGTCTTCTAAAGTCGATTTATACTTTTTCCATGACGAAATTCATAACTCTGACCATACGCTTGTGGTCGACAAGAGAATTTGTATACAAGTATAATATATATTGATGTAATTAATTGTAAACCTTGTTGATATCATCCCTCGATCACCAAAATTCCACCCATCGTTAAGTTTGAATATATTTTATTGCAAAATAATTACTAAAGGATTTGGCGCAAGTTCCATCTTTCCTCGAACATTTGAAAAAGTCAAACGCTAACAAATTCAAGATATCTTTCATGTAGACTTGATGATGATCCGCTTATTATTTTGGATGTTTTGACGATATCTTTTTTAACGTAAAAGGACGTGCCGTATTTAGTTTTAAAAAAACGTAACTGCTCCGTCTGATCACAAGCGTGCATCCCTATTGTAGCGTATGGCCGTCATTGTAAGAAGGACCCATGGTCATCAGACTCTTTGGATATTGGCGGGATACAAGTCTTGCGGAACGGAGCAGTCGAGTCTAAATACAATTCAATAATGCCAAGACGTCTACGGACGGTAGAAGGGAAGATATCCTTTACAGGTTAAGCGATAATTGCGGGTGGTATTTTTTATTTTTATCATGTGTGTGATTGGTGGTGGGTTTTTTTTAATATTGTACAATGAAAGTGTCGTATTGATTCTGGTGTAAACAAATTAAACTGCTCCGTCTGATTACAAGATATACATCCCTATTGTAGCGTATGGCCGTCATTGTAAGAATGACCTTTGGTCATCATACTCTCTGGATATTGGCGGGATACAAGTCTTGAGAAACGGAGCAGTTGCGTGAGTTTACATTATACAGCATGTCTAAATATATTTCTATAACATTACAATAAGTATAATAATCGCTCTTGAAATATCAATTTTATTATTATCAGACATTGTGAATTTTGAAGAATACATATTTAAAGTCAATTACAGAGGTAATCGAGGAGTCCGTTAAAATTAAGTGGACAGAACCGGTGACAACTTCAAAATTAATTGTGACCAGTCCTCTGCTCATGATCCCTTTAAAAAGTAAATCACGAACACATTCAATATATATTTCATGCCAGGACCATTGCGACAGAACGAAAACGGGAAATATCTTATAAGTTCGCTAATAACTGTGAATGGTATTTTTATATCTCTTTTTCGGCAGAGTTTACGACAAGGGAAGTGCTGCGTTTTGGTGTAAACAAACGAAACTGCTCCGTCTGATTACAAGATATACATCCCTATTGTAGCGTATGGTCGTCATTGTAAGAAGGACCCATGGTCATCAGACTCTCTGGATATTGGCGGGATACAAGTCTTCAGAAACGGAGCAGTTGCGTGAGTTTACAGTATTCAGCATGTCTAAATAGACAGTACTTCCATAGCAGTGCCTTTATCATCAACGTGTGTATCTCAAACATTTTCAATAACGGAACATAAGTTTTGATTCAATTGAAGTGGTCACCAGTGAATCCGCTGAACCTGGTCGTAATTGTCAAAAACTAGTTGTGACCTGTCATCCTTTTATTGTCCCTAAAAAGAAGGCTCAGAATGTTAAAACCTGCGTTTTTGATAAGTTTACGCATACTCTTTATCAACAAAACCGAGCACATTTTCGGGGGGAAACTGGAAAAAACATCATGCATTTACACTCAGTATTACTTTCCTTCGCCAGTGGTATCGCCTTTTTCTCTTCTCTTCCTGAAAACCACTTTTTGCTTCTTTTAAATTTCGAGTAGCCGATACTTTTCAACATGGCTGCCTTCTTTGTCTTCTATCCGACAAAGAAACGTCTGCAAATGCATGCTAACGCATGCGCGATATCCGTGTAATCGGATTGGGGGTAATTGATTAGCTGTGAGAGGTCACGCCACTTTGATTGTCACGGGGATACATTTCGGGGGCGTGGTTTGTAAAAGATATTGATTGATTGTGTTCAGTGGCGTGGCCCACATACATATAGGCTTATATGCTGGAGCATACACTGAAATTTTAAAAAAACTTATTTTTTAATCATATTCTTATTAATTTCTTTTTTGTGGTTAATATGGACCGTCCGTATCAATCATAAAAAAGGAGAGGAAGAAATCTTCTTGAAAATTTTAGTCTGAAAAAACAGTGTTGTTATGTTATGTCTATACACATGGACAAATATCGAAGGGTTAGGAGAATAAAAAACTACTTAGTGAAGTACAAAATTTACTTGTTAATAATAAGTGTAAAAGGAGTCCCCAAAATACGGGAGATTGCTTCTATGGCTAAGTAGACCTTATTTCAGCTATGGTCCCGACTCCCAATACCCTTCCCCTCCTCTTGCGCTACGCGCCTCGGACGCTCGACCCTCTGTTAGCATACACTCCGAAAAAAGATTTGCTACGCCACTGAAAACTAACTCCATCCGCCATACGTATTTCTTGTACGGTCGGCAGCTAAACATCAAGTATGTTGGGATTTACAATCACCAAAGACTTAACATAGAGCAATCACATCAGTTCCATAACCAGTAAGGCCAACCAGGCGATATCTTCAAGACAGAATCTCGAAGAACATCCACCCTATAGATTACCACTTTCCTGTGCTTTCAGTCAAACTGTCCTTTGCATGTTTCCCTTTCGCGCACCTGGTGTTGATCTCCGGATGAAGGACTACCAGTCAACCGGCAAAAGCAAAAAAACAAAACATTTCAAATCAACTTTATCATTATTATGTAATATGAACGGCAGAAATATTTTACTTTTCACAAACTGACTAACGATCTCTTTCATCAACATGCAAACTAATAACTTATCAAAACAATCATTATTAAAAATAATTAAAAAAACAACATTACATGAACATAAAACAAATATTAATGTAAAAAATTATATGCCAAATTGAGTCTTGATGTAATGTGTTCTTAATCAATAATATTTAAGTGAACTGGCAATAATTACCGCCACTTTCAAAAGATCAGCAAGATCTTAAGTACTTTTGAAGTATCCTCGGGTTACCGGTTTCCGCGCACTTATGAAGCATCCGCGATTTCGTACTCATATCGGCAGAAAACTGTTGAAACTACGGATCACTATCTTAAATATGTATACAATCTACTAAAGGAAACAAAAAACTAGCAACATAAAACTGTATTTAAAAAAATTCAGAACAAACAACTTTTAACAAATTTCTCCCGTCGAAAGTAGCCGTCATATGTTTCCGTGTGTCTATTTTGATTTAGTGTTCAAAGAAAGATAACTCGAATACACTAAAAAGAAATTCTCTACAGTGACCTGCAATACAAAAGCTTCGTTTGGAATAAAAAAAATATCTTTGATCGTCAAATTAATTATCAAAACAACTTTTTTTAAATTTCGCATTTTTAATAGATTTTTCAAGATGTCAAATTAAACGAATTCATGTATTTTTTATTTATTTATTATATTTATTTAGTTATAATATAGAATCTGTTATTATTTATTTTCTGCAGTTTTATATCGGTTTTGGTTGATGGTAAGTTATTTCTCTTTTTTGTTCTGTTTAAAATTGGTGAAAATTGGAAGTTCATTGCATTACAAGGTTTACGTTTCATTGAAAACACTGTTTATCGATATAAGAATGTCTCCTTGGCTCTTCGGAAGTGGACAAAAATCGGCGAGGAGATATGGCCTCATTTGCATACGACATTTTCGTACGTTTGTCAGACTACAAAAAGACCGGTTCATGAATGAAAATATCACCGTTTTTTTCAGGTATGGGTTCATTTTGAGCAAGATAAAAAGTGCATCAAGCAAAACTGCATATTTATGCGTGTTTTTTTAATTGGTGATTATTTCTTATGTTTTCCGGACGAACTTCCGGTAATTTTTGTGTCAGTTTACAGACGATTGGCCAAAAGTCTAAAATATCCTTGTGTTGTGTCCAGCAGGTCACGTAGTTACGAGATATAGGTTGATAAAATGGCTGCGCGGAAATACATAACGCACTGAAACTGGTGACTAGACTATATATGTTGTGACGTCACAACATATACTTCAAATAAACAGTCTGAAGAATCTCCTAGAAGAGATGAAAGTACTAAAAACTCCTTGTTGAGAATTTTTCTTTTTATAATATATATATACTTGTGTTGGGGTTATGGGAGTTTGGGGAACTCGGTGGCAGTGATCGGTGAGTCCTACGATGATCCATTGATTTTGCAAACATTACGCTAAACAGAAAATTGGGATTCCCTACGTTTTTCTTTGCCGAAAACACGTCGAACTATCTGACCAGCATAACCAGTTTGTAACGTTAGCCTTCGCAAAACCTACAATATAGGGCTACCCTGTTCACTTTTAACATCACTTTTACCCGATTCCTTTTCGTTCTGGGAATACAGAAAGCAACTGGTTCACATGTCAAGATGAAATGGTGATACGGTCTCATTTCAGGCATCCCGCCGTTAAAACGGATTAATATTTAGAACCTCTCATATGTGAAGAAATTGTAATATTTCATATTTTACCGCCGTCAAAACTTTATTTACTACAAGCATATTATTGATCAAGATTATGATGTAACACGTGGAGACGCTTTTCACGTGCGAACACATATCCGGTGAGAAAGTACAGCGTAAAGGCAAGTGAAAACCGGGACCGTGGTGAATCGGAGGAGTTTACGACTCTAACTCTTAAGTTTATATGTGAACAGTTGGTGCTGCAAGAAGACTACATTCCTTCCGTTCTTATGTAAGTTACCCGTGCCTGGTTAGGGGCGGTATATGGAGAAGAAGGTGGAAGGGGGCGTGACTCATTAGATGTCAAAACGTACAAAAAAAAACAGGTTTTTTATCACTGGCAATTTACACCACATGATTAAAAATTGAAAAAAAAATAACACACTTAATTTTAGCATGGCTTGATATNGAGGAGTGAGTGTAGCACAGTGGCACGGTTCAAATTATCAATTTATATCTTTATATCCGAGGCCTCCTTGTTTACAATACATAAAAAAACATTGGCGGGGAAGCACATTTTCCAACATGCCTTCCCTTGTTATTATGTATGGTTAACAAGGAGGCCTAGGTTATATAATTGATAAATTGAACCGTGGCCCTGTGAGCGGACAAAGGGGTCCCATCCTCGATACTCCAGGGGGACGCTTACTTCTGATCTCTGCAACTGTGGATTTGTCATAGCAAAATTGAAGGCTTTGTGTGTACCACCTTGTAGATGATATAGGAGACTAGTTTGATCCTTTTACTGTGTTGCAGGTTTTTTAAATTGTACATAGGATTATAAAGGTCGCCTTCTAGCTTTGAGCTCAGTGGTAGAGTGTCCAACTATGAACCTGGAGATCAAGGGTTCGATCCCCAGTGGAAGCACACTATTCTCTTTCCTGTTACAAATGGTGTCCGTAGCCCTCCCTGTTGTGACAGAGAGTTAGAACCTGGGTTGTGGTGTGCAAGGGCAAACAGATTTAAAAAGGGGAGAGTAGTGTGGCAGGTTTTAATTGTTCATAGGATTAATGTCGCCTTCGAGCTAGAGGGAATTTCCCTTTAGCTCGGTGGTAGAGCGTCCGACTAGGAACCTGGAGATCAAGGGCTCGATCCCCTGTGGAACCACACTATTCTCTTAACTGTTACAACTGTTTTATCGTAGTAAAACTACATTGAAAGAATTTGTTGGAAGCGCACGGTAAATTTGACCAGCTTTGAAGTTGGGTGTCGCTCCTCTGTGATCTTCACAGGACAGGTATCGGCCTAGTGATTGGTCAGGTGTTTTTTTACCCGAGACAGATGAAATGGCTAGCCGTGTGTCTCCACTATTGCTACGACGTATTCCAGGACCTGAGAATTTGTAACGGCTTTATTTGGACCTAAACTAAGGTGTTCAGAGTAAATTTACATGTTTGAGGGGTTTAGATCGACTTTTGGTAAAAATGCCACAACCCAATGCTTATATATATGAGAAGGGAGGAAAGCTCTCGATGTTGAAATATCGACCCCACCTAACTTTCTTGCATTAAAATTCACATTTCTAGTTGAGATACGAAAACATGCTTAGTATCGTTAAAAAGATGGATTTTTTTGTTTTTTTATTTTTCTATATGCACATTAAATGTATTCTCCTACTGGCATGATCTCCGTTTTCTCTCAAAACACACGCCATTTCAGAGTTTTCAAAGTTTTTTTCCCAAAAGTACTGGAGGGATCTTTCTCAGATGATAGTTTCCAATGGTCCTGACTGATCCATATTGATTTTCGGGACTGATGGGGAAAACGAATGGCCACCAGACAGCCATCTTGAATTCTGATAGGTAAAGTTTGATAGCATTATTTCTCCGAAAGAACTGAAGGGATCTTTTTAAATTCCACTGGAAGCTTCCCCATGGTCCCTTGTTATGCATATTGAATTTTCGGCCTGATCAGAAAACTAAGATGTTCGAGAGGTAGCCATAGTATAATAATGTTAGCACTGTTTCTCAGAAAGAACAAGATGGATTGTACATGATGTTTCCAAATGGTCCTTACTAATCCATATTGATTTTTGGGACATATAGGAAAAAAAAGATGGCCACCAGACAGCCATCTTGAATTTGGTAGTTCAATTGTGTTATCACTTCATTGACAGCACTTCCAATATGTAAGAATTACAAGTTCTTGTCATTCTGCAATTCTTATAAAATAACATTTGCCATAGTGCAAATAACATATAACATTACCAGATTGAAGTTAATGTACAAAATTCCTGTTAAGGAAAATGAAGAGCAAAGAAGGTAAAAGATCATGTTTTGTAGATCTGGAAAAGATCCTTTGATGGTAGGCACCAAGATCCTTCTAGGATCTCTGGTTTTGTAAGCCGATACATTTTTTCACAAGGATTTATTTGAAAGTTTCTAGCATAATATTTTGCTTGTTATTAAAAGGTAAAACTGAAATTTCTTAAAAAAAAAGTGCTATGTGGTTTTAATATCATTATAATTAACAGCCCAGTCCTAGAATCAATTAACCATCCCTACCGTCAACAGTGATCTGTATTTGTCTTCCTGAAATGTATTCAATTTACTGATATACATGCTCAAGTGTTAAGTGTATTGAGGCAGAATTTTGATGGATTGAGGGATGTAAAAATGTAAATTAGAAATGGTTTTACATCTGTAATGGTATATATTCCTCATTATACATGCCAGTAATTTGGGTCGATAATTCAGAAATAAACATTGTTAAATAATGATCCTGTATGAACCATTGCTTTGCATACAATATGTGTCTTGTAAATCATTTTCACACTCAAATGTTTTCATGTTTCAGGAGATTTCAATGTAACAGACAATGGCGGGGAAACAGACAATGGTTGGGAAGAGTGCCCGGGATAAGCCTTACAAGTCGAGGATCAAGGGTAGCAGAGAGGCACCAAGGCAGTACAGCCTACGCCGGAGACCCAGCATCAGCTATAATGAGGCAGTCCTTTCTTGCATGAATGCAGTTTTGGATGATGATACTGAACTGCAAAAATATGACCAACGCAACAATACATACACTTGTGATGCAAGGGAAGTAACCCTGAAAAGTGGTTCTGTGGTTTCATCAATGAAAAATGGAGTTTATGAGGATCCGACACTTCAAAACCAAATAAACATGTCTGATGATAATTCATCGTGGGAGTCGCAGTCGGACACAACATCCAAGTCTGACACGACGTCGGATGGTGTGTCTGATGATGATGGAATGTTGTTAAAAACAGGGCGGACCACTTTGACACACCTGAAATCTGGCCAGGTAAATAGACTAATGAGTATCTGTAAGATTTGTGGGGCTGGATTTTGTCGCAGGGGAGACCTGATCACTCACATGAACCTGGTTCACCATCAACTAGTTCAAAACTATAAAGATCTGTGGAATCAGAGGTTCACAAAGCCTCATGATACTCGTATACCATGCATGCCACTGTTAAAATGTGAAGATATTGTGACTACTTTACCCCGTCAGCAGAAATGTGAAAACTTGCGTACTGCTGTACACACCATGCCAAAACTTGAATGTCAGCTAGATTTCATTCCTAATTTGTCTAAACCTGTGCCATATCTTCCAAAGCAGAAAAGTGAAACACCTCGGAATCCTGACGAGAAATGTGAAACACTTCAAAATCCTGTGCAGAAATGTGAAGCCCCTCTCAGCCAAGTACCCAGCATGCCAATGCAGAAATGTGAAACCTCTGAGGATGGTTTTCATGATGTGTCTAAACTTAAATCTGAAGATGCTGCAAGTCAAGCTCCAAACATACCACTGATGAAATGTGAAGCTCCACTAAATCATGTAAAGAAAATATTGCAAAATTGTAACACTCTTGAAACGCATGGACCAGAACTACTGCAGTCAAAATGTGAAGTCTCCGATAATTCTACAGAACTGAAATGTGAAGATGTGAAGAAACTTGCGCCTAACCCACCACTGCCAAGATGTGTAGCCTTCGACACAGGTGTGAATGCCACTCAAACCTGTGCCATACTGAGTGAATCGAATGTTCACAAATGGAACATTTATAGTAAGGAAGTAACAACCACAAATGGAGACCAAGGAGCTATGATTCTCTCCAGTTACCCTTCTGATCAAAGCCTCAGGAATGGGAACCTTTTACCACTGTCTGATCCAATCAGTCTAACCACCAGCCCTTTCTCTCCACATGGCTCATCCAGAAAGGTGCGTCAATCTCGAAAGAATGTTGATGGATTCGACAAAAACGGAAATATCGTCGCCTTTAACACCCCTTCCTCTTTAAATCATTTTCCTGAATGTAAAACAGTGAGCGATGGTAATGGAAGTCAAAGTCAAGGTACTGCAAAGACATTTAATGGGGAGAAACCAGATGACAAAGAAAACTTTTGTGGCCATGAAAGCAACTCACAAATTTGGGCGAACATGTCTTTGGCTGGTAGGGTTAGCAATTCAACATCTTTCACTGGCATCAGTAGTGTAAGTGATGGGAGGGTCACTTTATTGAGCAGAAGTTCAGAAAGTATTGTGTCTAGCCTCGGTACTTCCGCAAGTAAATATGATGACTACATGGTGCTGCCGGGCAGACAGAATGTTAAACTCTTGCAGCGTTTACAAAAATGTCATATATGCGGCAAGGGATTCAGCAGATTAAGTGACCTCACATCACACAGCTCGACCCATGACCCCGAAAGACAAAGGTCAACAAATGTTTCCAATCCAGTTTCAGCACGTCACCTGAAAGAGAAGTCTAGATGTGGTAGAGGAAGACCAAGGAAAATTAATTCTCAAAGTTCTGAAAACTGCGACCTGAGGAAGAAAGTACCGCTTAGTGGAAGAGAGAGACAAAGAGGAAAATATCTTCAAACTGCTCAAAGGAAGAGAAAAGTTGAATCTGAAGGCTCTTTGAAACAGATATTTCGAAGAGAAGGATCGGGAATGAAAGTGGACTTTGTGTCTCCGACAGATCCTACTGGTAATGAAAAGGTGTGTCCCATTTGTAAGCGAGTCTTCAACACAAACGGCTCTCTGCAGGCCCACCTTCGTGTTCACACAGGGGAGAGGCCTTTCAAATGTAAGGAGTGCAACAAGTCGTTTAGTCAGAAAGGTAACCTCAAGATACACATGTGGATTCACACACAGGAGAGGCCGTACAAGTGTTCGACGTGCAGCTGTAGCTACAACCAGCTCAATCTCCTCCTCTACCATCAGTGGAAAATGCATGGCATGGGACCTGGAAAGAAAAGCAGGAGGCAGAACTGCTCAAAGAACTGAAAAGGACCTTGCACATATATATGACTTAGAACCAATGGCTGCTGTTTGACTTTTTTTTCACTTGTGTATCTCCGGAAAAATTAATGGACTAAACTTACAAGTTTAATCGGGGCCCCAGTAGGATTTTCTTCTTGAAACCAGAGTAGGAATGCTTGTTCGTGATCGAGATTTCAGTTTTTGGACTATTTCATTTGATTATGCTGATTCGAGTTAAGGATATGACCCCGGGCGGCCTGTTTATATCACATGTGAATATGCATTTGAATGAGACTAGAAGATTCTGCAGACCACATTGCAATCTTTAACAGTTTTGGTAACAGCACATGCATGTATTTATGTTAAAAGCTTTCTATTTTAAAACATTATTGGAAAGTACATGTACTCCAAACATGCAAATTTCTCTAGCTTGTCAAATCCTTTACCAGTTTGGACTATAGGTCTCAAACTTTGTGCATTAGTGTGTCACTGTGTTGGAGACATACCTGGAATTCTCTGTTACCTACAATTGGCAAATATTGTAGGTTAGACATGTTTTTGTTGGAATAGCAGAGTTTTTGTGTGTTTTTTTTTATTGAAAACAGGTCCCATGGCCATCATACAGAATCATAGCCCATAGTTCACCATGTCATTTTGTCTAATGTAAATCTCATAGATAAAGTCATCTCCAAATGTTAGAAATAATTTCAAGCATTAGGAATCGTAACCTTGAAGAATGAATATGAAAATTCCTCATAAGATAGGAGTGCAATCCAAAGAACATGTAAGGCATTCAGAAAATCCTGCAATAATTATCTTCAGGATAAAATTGTACTGTTTACCAATGAATCTTACTGTAGTTATCAGGTCCAGCACACTCTGCCACTTGAGCTATATAGTTGTATCTACCGATACTTTAAAGCTGTATTGAGCTATATTTTCTAAGATTTTGATCATAGTGAAAACAAAGCAAAATTGCATAAAACTACAGGTTTTATGTTAACGAAAGCATACGATTTGAGGTGTATTTTTATTTTTCATAAAAGTGTAATAGGAAAGAAAATAGTGTGTTTCCACCGGGGATTGAACCCTTGATCTCCAGGTTCCTAGTCGGACGCTCTACCACTGAGCTAAAGGGAAATTCCCTCTAGCTCGAAGCTAGAAGGTGACCGTAATCCTATGTACAATTCAAATCTGCCACAAAAGTAAGATTTTTGATTTCTATCAAATGCGCCTCATTTTCTTTAAGAAAGAAATTTATGTAAAAATAGCTAAAAAAACATCTTTAAAAATGATTGTATAATCAGCTTTGATAGGTCTTGACAGCTATATAGCTCAATCAGCAAAGTGTACTTGACCTGGTAATAAACCTGTTTTCAAGTCATGTGAAAAAAGGTTATGTAATTTTTGATGCGCGGAGCCAGAACTCGGTTTTTGGCTGGAATTCCTTGGCTGATATCCATTGATCAAATTGATACCATGAAAAAAGGAATGGGTTCCAAACATTTTAAGGGCATTTCACATTATATCATATGTGGCATCATTATTTCATATTCAACGTCATGTTGTTCACCATTGAAGTTCGGTTCAGCAAATGAACATTGATACAGGATAAGGACCATAATCGTTACTCCAGGTGTTACGCTCACTTTTGCTCTCTGCACCCCTGCAATATGTCGAAGCAAAATCAAAGGCTCGGTGTTCGCCACCTTGTGGATGAGACGAGAAGACTTGTTTGATCCGTTGATGAACATCAAAAGAATATGTTGTTACGTAACGGCAAAATTGACTGGCTTTGAAGTCGGGTGTCGCTCCTCTGTAATCTTCGAAGCCTGGAGATTGGTCAGGTTCTTTTTACCCAAGACCAATCAAATAGCTAGCTGCATGCTTCCAATTTTGCCATGACATTCTAGGGGTGCAGAGAGCGAAAGTAAGCGTAACCCCTGGAGTATCGAGGATTACAAAGGATAGGCAATGTTTTATTGTTTACAGAAAGTATAAAATGCATTTGAAGAGCAATGGTTGGTTTGTAATACAATACAACCAATACCACACATCTCCATTCAACTGATGTGTCCGATTGTACACATCTGTAGTGTGAATAGATATATATTGGGGCACTTAAAAATGTCCATAGGCATCTTTTTGTATTGGTGGGAAAAAAAGTGAAAGAGTGTTATTGTAGAGTTTCTATTTTTGACACCATTCTTGTTTTTTAGCTCACCTGGTACGAAGGACCAAGGTGAGCTTATGCCATACCGTGGCGTCTGTCGTCCATCCGTCCGTCCATCCGTCAACAATTTCTTTAAACGACTTCTTCTTCTTAACCACTGATTGGAATTCAACTAAATTTGACTGGAAGCATCCCTAGGTGGTGGGGATTCAAAATTGTACAAATGGTGGGGCTGACCCCCAAGGGGGCTGAGGGGCGGGGCAAAAAGGGGGCAATTTGGCTATATTGCTTTAAGCGACTTCTCCTCTGGAACTAAGAAGTGGATATCAACCATATTTGACTGGAAGCATCCCTAGGTGGTGGGAATTCAAAATTGTACAAATGATGGGGCTGACCCCCCCAGGGGGCTGACGGGCGGGGCAAAAAGGGGGCAATTTGGCTATATTGCTACAAACGACTTCTTCTGTAGAACTATGCCATGGATATCAACCATATTTGATTGGAAGCATCCCTAGGTGGTGGGGATTCAAAATTGTACAAATGGTTGGGCTGACCCCTGAGGGGCGGGGCCAAAAGGAGTCAATTTGGCTATATTGCTTTCAGCGACTTCTTCTCTGGAAATAAGAAGTCGATGTCAACCATATTTTAATTGGAAGCATCCCTAGGTGTCAGAGATTCAAAATTGTACAAATGATGGAGCTGACCCCCCAGGGGGCTGAGTGGCGGGGCAAAAAGGGGTCAATTTTGCAATATTCCTATAAGCGACTTCTTCTCTGGAACTAAGAGGTGGATATCAACCATATTTGACTGGAAGCATCCCTAGGTGGAGGGGATTCATACAAATGGTGGGGTTGAGGGCGGGGCCAAAAAGGGGGCAATTTGGCTATATTNAACCCCTAGGGACCTAGTTTGTTAGTCACAGCTTGGAAACAGTTGAGAGCCCCACCCTATAACGGTATATACAATTGCTGAGTATAAAGAGATGATTGCACATATGCTTCCAGGATGGCCTTGGGGACTGCCCCACCCTTGGAGACTTAACCCCTGGGTCATAACTTCGAAATGGTTTAGATCCCCACCCCAAAACTATATATACAATTGTTGGGCATAAAAAGACGAATGCAGTCATGATATTAGAATTGACCCCAGGGTCTGCCCCACCCTTGCAGACTTAACCCCTGGGTCATAACTTTGAAATGGTTGAGATCCCCACCCCAAAACTATATATACAAATGCTGGGCAAAAAGAGACAAATGCAGTCACGATATTAGAATTGATCCTGGGGTCTGGCCACAACCCTAGGGACCTAGTTTCTGAGTCAAAGCTTGGAAACAATTGAGATCCCCACCCCATAACCATACATAAAATTGCTGGGCATGAAGAATCTAATACATGTACAGATATGCTACAAGGATTGGCCTTGGGGTCTGGCATATTCCCTTGATCTCATTCGGAGAATATTTTGCCATGATAGCTTTGGTATCCAGGTGAGCAATACAGGCCCTCTGGGTCTCTTGTTTGGTTAGTGTTTCCAAAAATAATATATTGCATGAAAATGTTTGTAATTTTTAGCATTGTATACAAAATGTTAAACATGAATTCAAGGATTTCTGTTTTTCACAATGAATTTCTGTGAGAAATAGATTTGGTGAAAATAATAGTCATTTCCTAAAATCATATTATATTACATAATTGCTGAAAATGAATCTGCAAAATATTGAACCAACAGAACCATTTTTACAAAACTTGATACGTATGTGTTACTGTTATTTCTTGCATACTGCCTGTTGGTTACCCTGTGCAGTCTATAATCTGATGAAGTGGGCAATATGACGAAAAAAATCCAGAAATTTACAAAAGATCGGGCAGTGCGATATCTTTCAAATCCAAAGGTGTTTACTGTTTCAAAAGCAAACAAAAATACAAAATAAGGTTACCGAAATTATCGGAGATTTAATCACCGAACAGACGCATGAAAGTTGGATTATATCATTGCCACTGTATTATATTGTCTATCTGGAGTACTAGGAGTCGTCCATATAGGAATACTGTAGGAGCAATATGTACCTGATGTTAGAAATGAACCTGGTATTCATTGCTTAGAAATACCCCACAGGCAATCTACCTGAATTGGTAATTTGCAGACTTTGTTTCCTAAACGTGATATTTTGAGGTGTGCCGAGAATATAATGGAGCTGGCAATATGCAAGAATTTTTGCAGTACGGTACATTACCTGGAAAAAACTGTTGTGGAACAAGTAAAAACCTTCAAAGTAAAGGTTGTATTTTTAAAAAGGATTTATATCGGCAAGCATGCATGCTCACTTAACTCTTTTACCCCCTGAAGACAGATTTGAACTCTTCCAATTCAAAGGTTGCAATAGTTCATTATGAAATTGCAGGGATGAATTAGTTAATATTTTCAAAATATATTCGAAAGTGTTCAGTGAAAAAGCATGTATAGTTCTAACAGGAAATTCCTTTTTTTAACAAATCAAACATTTGTGAACTCTTTTGTTTCCAATACCCACTTTTAAGATATTTCAAATTTGTTAGTTGGTGTTCTGTTTGATGTTTTAGCATAACCATCTTGTTTTTGTTCAAATTTAAAAAGGTTTACAGTTCAGTGAATTTTGTTTTTGTGCATGAGTAAAATATACTCTGTCTTGTTTTAGCTCACCTGCCCAAAGGGCAAGTAAGCTTGTGCCATGGTGCAGCGTTCGTTGTTCGTCAACTTCTTACTTCTTCTCGGTAACCAAAGGGCCTAGGATGATGTTATTTGGCCAGTAACATGCTGGGATAAAGGGCTATTAAGTGTGTTCAAATGAATGACCTTCATCCCTTTTAAAGGTCACGGGGGTCAAATATGTTAAAACCTTTCAACAACTTTTTGTGAATAACCAAGAGGCCAGGGATGATATTTGGGATGATATTTGGCCAGTCGCCTGATGGGATGAAGGGTTACTAACTTTTTCCAAATGAATGACCTTGAGTTGTATTCAAGGTCATGGGGGTCAAATCTATTGAAATCTTTCAAGAACTTCTGAACAATAAAGTCCAGGGTAATGATATTTGGCCAGAAGCAAGCTGGGATGAAAGGCTATAAAGTCTGTTCAACTTTACTTAATGTCTTTTTTCGACTTTCAAGGTCACAGGGGTCATATTTTTAAATCTATTAATAGATACAAGTGTGAGCGATTCAGGCCCATTGGGCCTCTTGTTGTTATTTCAAATTAAATCTGTTGTTTCCTTACACACTCTGTTGTTTTATCTATGTCTAATGGTTATTACACATTTATATAAACTGTATCTAAAAAAATATTATGAAGCAAGCTTTTCAAAATTATATTCAAACACTTGTTGGCCTGGGTGGAACCATCTAATGTCTTATGTGGAAGGAAACCGAGGACCTCGAGAAAATCCATATGGTTGAGCCAAGACCAAATAAAAAAAATCACGTCCACTCGGGGCAACAAGTGCCAGGCCAATCACGTAAACCACTGCTATCTTAACAAGAACAAAGTAGGATGTGATGTGGTTTTGGCTAACATTTATGAAAATTTTAAAATGTAATTTTCAGTAAACAATTTACAGACAATGGTATTCAACTTTCAAAATAAAATCATCTTCCAATGGCAAAATAACAACACTCTAAATCAGGCAAGAATCTGAGATATGGGTAAAGAATGTTCCATCTAAGGATCCCTGTCCTATTAAAGCACTAGTTTTTCACTATAAGTTCACATTGGCCAATAACACTCATACACTGATATGCTTGGTTTTGGTCAGGTCAGAATTGCTGTTACTATAAAGATTTTTTTTCTGCTTTATGTCTGGAAACCATGTGAACAAATAACACTAACTTCAATTTCTATTTGCTGGTGTGATGCTTTTGCATTGGTTTGTTGTTAAGGCTGAAGGTCATGGTCATTTGTACTTTAAATAGAAAATTGGTTTCCTCGCAATAACAAATTTCCGTTGGGCAATAACACTCAAATTTTATACAATGCCTCCTTTAATACAGATAGTGCTAGTTTGTAAATTCTTTTCATTTGTGATAGTCAAGGTCACTGTTACTATTACTAGGACATTTGTTGGCAAAATGAGTTCTATGGGCTGCTAGAGCTCTTTTTAGGGGGGGGGAGGGGGGAGGAAGTCTGTGAATATTAAACTGCATAATGTGATCCAATAACTTTCCTCAAGGACAAAACACGTTCGGTTGATTCTGATTGTACATACTGAAAAGGCATTTTTATACACCTGTCAAAGGACCTGTTACAGGAACAAAAGAATTTTGCCCACAAAGCAATTTAACCATCACTGGGTTATATTTGTAGCTCCCTAAGACACGACCCATGAGGTATTTTTAAAAAATGAAAAAGGTCCCCAGGGCCTGTGCTATGAACTATTTAGTGATGCCTTCCAAAGGTGTACGATAGGGTTCTCTTTTTTGTCCAAAAAACTATCAAAACAATGTTTTACGCTATCAAATAATATTATATTATTTAAAGTAGGAT